GGTTGTCAGGTTGACGTAGGGGTGAAGTGCAGGGGCCCTGGAGATAAGCAGACTTGGGCTTGGTTCTACCCATCCCAACCCTGGGACCCCAGGTATGTTTCTGTGAGCCTAACTTGCCTCTCTGCAAAACGCACTGTGGTTGCTGTGTGATTACATGATATAATCCCTAGAAAGTGCTTAGCACAGAGTCTCTGGCCCATTAGTAATAGCTCCACAATGTTAGCTAGTAATATTGAAAAGAAATATAACCAATGTTTACAGACATTTACCCCTAGAAGCCATTCTTCCGGCTGCTTGGTTTTGTGTTTAGGACTGTGTCGGGGGAGAAGGCCACATTCTACAGTCGTGGTTACTCATGCTGTGCCTGCGTGGATGGCAGGGCGGGGTGAAAAGAGTGCCCAGAAGTGGGCTGGGGCTGAGAGGACAGATTTCCAGGGCGAGCCATGAGACTGGCAGATTCTCTCCACGGCCCACAACTTATTCCCCTCGCTCCGCTCTCTCTACCTCCCACATTTTCTCTCACCTTCCTCCCACAACCTCCTTGCTATTTTCTATTCTGAATTGTAAATTTCTCTGAGGCCAGAGACCAAGCGTCAGCAGTCTGTCAGTGCCCCGTATGAAGCACCTGCTGCTGTGCCTTGGACCTGCTCTTATTGGCCATCATAAGCTGGGAGGCTTATTAGAGACCCTCCCATTGGGTGGCGCATTAGGAAAGGGCGTGGTGGAGGGAATGGAAGGGAAACATAGATGTAAGATTTAAAGGGAAGATACAAGATCTTGGTGAGGGACGAAGAGAGCACAAACTTTGAAGTCACACAGATCTGGGTTGCAATCCCAGTTCTATTTTTAAAAACTACTTTAGCTTTACTTTCAGTTGAATTCTTTAGCCCCTCTAAGCCTCTGTTTCCTCATTTACAAATGGAAACAATATTGTCTACCTCCTTGCTTGCTGTGAGGATTAAATGAGGAAAGGTGTGAAAATACCCAGCGTGGGGCCTGGCGTCCTGTTTAGATGAGTTTTCTCTTCTTTCCTCCAGGGCTCTGAGAGCAGGTCCGTGGAGGAATGGCCTTGCTCTTCCTGGAAGCAGCCGGCCGGCTTATTTTATGGGTAAAGAAGAGTTTGACTTGTGGCACGTTGACTTTGAGGTGCTAAGACAGCCAGTTGGAAATATCCATCCAGCAACTACAATGAGGGATAGGCACTAGTTTCTAAACCATCTTCATCACGTATACCCCGTGCTGCAGGAGTATGAGGAGGAGTGATGGTTTAGAAGGAGAGAGCACAGAGGAAAAGAAGGAAAAGCTCTGGGTTCAAGGCTGTGGAGGGGGCAGGTTCAAAGTTTGGTACAGGGTGATTAATGGATGAATTGGATGCAGGTCAAAGTCATCAGAGTTAAGGAGGTCAAGAAACTAAAACTTACATTTGTTTTTGTCACAAGGAAAAAATTCTCAAGACCCCCTTCACCATCGTCCACCTTCCAGAGCCAATGACAACTCTCCGCTCCTGCCCAGCTCTTCTGCTTTCGTGTCTCTGAGCATACCTGCACATCCCCCCACGTGTTGCTGTAACACTGTCCTCCAGGAAATGCTATCGGGACCGTGCCCATCCTTTAGAGTCCAGCACAGGTCTCGCCACTGCGAATACTGCCTCTCCTCTCCAGCCTACAACGATCTAATTTTCCTGCCTCCGGACTCCTAAGGCATTTCTTGACTACTGCTCTTTTGCTTTTTTTTTTTTTCTTAAGCTTTTATTCTTCATGGCTAGAATTGGAAGCGGATTTTATCCCACATGCCAACACGAGTCAACTCTCTGTGGCTGCCTAGAGAAGAATCCTAAGACATCTTCCAGGCTCAGTGGGAAAAAGCCATGCTTGCTCTGCATGCCCCTTAAGGGTGCTGGCACGGGGAGCGTGGCATCAATGCTGGATATCTGATGGGGCAATAGGATTTACCCAATAGGATTAATGTCCTTATAAGAAGAGGAAGAGAGACCAGAGCTCTCTCTTTCTGCACCATGTGAGGACACAGAGTGAAGCCCGGCAAGCTAGGAAGACAGCTGTCATCAGAAATTGTATCAGCTGACACCTTGATCTTGGACATTCCAGGCTCCAGAACTATGAGAAAATTAATTTCTGTTGGTTAAGCTCATTCAGTCTACAGTATTTTTTTATGGCAGCCTGAGCTAATACGCTCCTCCTAGCCCCATCCCAGTGGTCCATGCCGAGATCTAGAAACAGTGTTTCCAAAAGGAATGTTACACCAAGAGAAGGTTTTCTTATTTACAAGTCTACTGTGATTTCCATCACAGCCTAGAGAGAATTTGGCCACAAATTGCTATGTCCTTCCCAGAATCAGAGAACCGAGGTCCCCTAACATTTAGCCCAATGCTGGGCTCAGAGTACAAACTCAATAAATGTTTGGTGGACGTAAGCTTGGAGCACCCAGGCCCAGAGTGGAGGAGTTCTGGCTCCCTTCCCAGGGCTCTCCGTCCTCTTCAGCACGGCCTCTCCTCTAAGGCCACTTAGTTTAGGTGCTAAGAAAGAGCTTCTCAAAGCCACTTGCAGTTATAATCTGGGTTCAAATTCCTAAGTAAGTGATCTTGGGCCAGCTAAAAGTCTTAATTCAAGTTCCCCCAGAAAGGTTCAAATCCAAATAGTTTATTTGGGAGGGACAAGAGACACAAGCATGGTGGTAGGAAGAAGACATGGAAAGAAAGGCAGCTGATAAAGTTGTATTGTCAAGCTAGTCACCACCGTGGGCCACTGGAGCTTACCCCTCTGGGGACTCTGGGGGCCATCATAGAACACATGCCTCAGACTCAAACCCCCATCCCACCATCACAGGCCAAGGGAGCCAGGGTATTTACACACCAACTCCTGCCAATCATTTGTGATGGCTGCACCTAGAGGACATTTATTCTCCAACACACCTGTCCTGCTGCAAGCACGAGCACACCAGGCTCCAGAGGCCAGTAGAAGTTCTCAGGCCACGTTCTGGCATTTGAAAGTTGAGCTGATAGGTGCTGAAATGGCGAGGGCCAAGGAAATATGGGTGGAGAACAGACAGCATCTGATTCATTACAAGAGTTGGTATTTGTAACACACTTAGAACAACTATGGAATTAAAATGCTATTAAGTGCTTGGCAGATTGTATTTTCCATACAGGGACACAGCAGTTTTCTGTGTCCCGCATGCTCTGCTGGAAGCTTGCCACTCACTTCTTAGGGTGGAGTCTATTTCCCCTCCCCTTGAGCCCCGTGGCCGTTGTGACTGCCTTGATGAACAGAGTGCTGCGGAAGTGAAGCTGCTGGATTCCAAGGCTAGGTCATCGAAGGAAGCAAGAGTTCACCTGCTTTTCTATGTCTCTCTCTGTGTGTGTATATATAGACATAAATATGGAGATAAGTATAGATATGCCGCGCACACACCCCTGGGACCGTATCCTGAGTCCACCCCGCTGCAGAGATCACATGAAGAGACAACATAGGAATAGAAAGCGAAGTCCAAGGATCTTCAGCTGTTCAAGTTGTCCCAGATCAGGTGCCATCTCAAGTATAGGTGTGTATACATTTAGTGAAGAAGCCGTCGCGATGACCCCAGCCACAGCCACATAGTGACTTCAACCCCAACAGACACCCTGAGCTAGATCTGCCAAATTACACTCAACCCAAATTCCTTATCCACAGAAACCTTGAGAGATAATGAATAATTATTGTTATTTTAAGGCACTGCATTTTGAGATAACTTCTTATGTAGCCATAGTAACTGGAACAGTGCTTGATAAATAAAACAAATACAACCTTACCTCCTCTACTTACAGCCCCTCCTAAGATATGAAAGGAAACCTCCATATTCTGGATTTCACATTCCAGCAGATGGGTATAGCCCAAGCTGTTTTTCTAACAATCAGATCTTTGTAATATTGAACTTCGTAATATGCAAAAGGTCTGTTTAGTTCTGGACGGACATTGTGGTGATTCCTCTGTATACATTTTGATCTCCTTCCTTTCAGTGGTGGCCTGGTTGTTTGGTCACTCACTGCTAGCTCCAAAAGGAGGCCCCGAATGGTCTAAGCCATCAGGGAATCTCAAGCCTCTTGCCACAGTTATTGGACCATGCAAGTCAGGCCTAACCAATCAGCACATGGCTTCCCCCAGGATTGGGGGCATGGAGAAATCCACACCACACCCAGGACTTTTGCTGGGGAACCTGGGCACAGAAGCATTCTTTCTCTGGGAAAGACACACACACTGGAACCATTGCAATAATTTTGCTACCATGAGGGAAACCAGCCTAGGAGTAGCATCAACACATGAAAGAGGCAGGACTGAGAGAATCACAGAGAAATTAATCTAGAGCCTTGACCAAGTCATGCCTAAAGCCCGGACTCCATCTGCATTTTCAGGTATGGGAGCCACGAAGTTGCCTTCACTGTTTAAATCACTCTGATAGGGATGTCCTATTACCTGTAACTAAACATGTCCTAATGAATTCAGGTACCAACACATCTGACATTGTCACTAGAACTAATCCACTCCTCTTCCGCAGACATAGAAAAGAGGAGCAATGTGTAATCTGTATAAATCTTTCCAGCGCTTTCTTTGTACATTTTTCTATGAAACCTTGAGTTTTGCCAAGAAAACAACTATCATTTTTCTGTCTAGGCTGGTAGATGGTCATGTTCTCCCTGTGTCTCTTCCCTCCATGTGTGTCCTTCTCTGTGTCCAAATTTCCTCTTTCACGGGACACCAGTCATGTTGGATTAGGGCCCATCCTGACACCTTCATTTTAACTCACTTACCTTTTTAAGATCCCTATTTCTGAATGAGGCCACACTCTGAGGTATTGGGGGTTAGGACTTCAGCAAACCTTTTTTGTGGGGATGTAATTCAGCCCATAACAATGGGGTAGAGGAAGTGGCTTAGGAGAGCATACATGGAGACGACAAGACACCAAATACAGGAAAAAATAGAAAAATCAGAAAAAATGAGAGACGTTACCTTATCAAACACACAATTTTGGAGTTGTCCAAGTACAACAAAGCTGATGGCCCTGCTTTGATTCGTAGGAGAATGGAAGGCACAAGGTTTCTGACGGAAGATACTTTCTCTGCCGAGGTACCGTGATGGAGATGAACATTGAGTCTTGTTGCCTCTTTTTTTCTAGCCTAGATGTTTTCATTGCAACAATCTCTGTTTTGTTGGGTGATTTTTTTTTTTGAGGGAATACACACAATGCCTTGACTTATATTATTCTCATTGCATCCAACTGAATGAAATTTATGAAGCCTCTTGCACAGTGTGTTCATTGTTTGGGTTGGGATAATTGAAGTGTCAGGAATATTTGCTTATTGAAAACAACTCAGGAAGGCCACATACACCCAACCAGGCCAGGGCCACAAGACGTGCCACATTTTGGAATACTGTGTCCTTATGCCTTTCGCAGCAGGGGCACCTCCCAGGTAAATTAATTTCACACCTGGGGAAGAACACTGGATTAGGAATCAGATGGCTTTATTTCTAATATGGACTTCACAATTCGCTTGCTATGTGGCTGAATAAATCATTTAACTTCTCTGGACTTCAGAGTTCAGTAGGCAAGAATTACATGGTCTTTTCTACATCATAGGGATACTGTGTAGTTCAAAAAGGAGAATCTATGTGAAACACTTTAGAAATCATAAAATGCTATACGATGTGTATTACTACTAATAAAAATTATCATGTGTACTTCTGCTCAAGGATGACGTTGAACTAAGGAATAAAATGGTCCAATGTTCTCATTATTCTCTATTTTCTCCCCAAGCTTCATCCTCCACCCTTTTCTGCCCTGCTCTGTGCCTTGGTAGACCGAGCACCGCAGACTGCACTGGCTAGACTTGCTTAGCTTGCGACTTCTGGTTGGATTTGGCCAATGAGAAGTGCCTGCAGGGTGTGGGAAAGTGGGAGGAGATGAAGGCTGGGTGTTTATTCATCTTGCTGTCTCCCTGACTGGGAGGTCTGGGCAGTGGCTGTGTCCTCCTTTAGCCATAGCTCCAACCTCTTCCATGCCTTTGGCCCTCACTGGGCTTCAGGTAACATCATTCCCTCTCCTTCCCTTCAGGGTGAGAGGGACAACAGCTTCCCACTGTGGCTGATCCCTGGTGCCTGTCTCTGTAAACAACTCTTCATTATGACTCTTGAACCCTTTGAATGTGCCATCTGGTTCTTGAGGGACCCTGACTGATGTAGCAGCATGACCACGATGTGCTCAATAAATAAGCCAACTCTTCCTGAGGGAATAATTGTCTCTATCTTCCAGGATGGTCTGGGTTTCCTCTTGTCCTTAACCATTGGGTATATCTGCAAAATGATTCTTCTCCTGTAGAAACGACATCAGTGGATCTTGAGGAACTATAGGGGTTTGGAGGTCTTCACTGTTTCCCATCAGCAATCAGGATGCTTTCTGTAGCTTTCCCGGGAGGCAAGGTCTCTGTTCTTCCTCTGGTACCTCCTGCACTCCTATGCTCAGGCGTTCCGGGAATTCAATCTGCCCTTCTCTCTCACCACAGGGAGGTTCCTCGCTGAGCTCCACGTGGAACACAGCCTCTTTCCTCTTTCCCACTCCCCGGCCCCAGCATCCCTATTTCTGTTTGTGTGGCCACGGCTTGGGATCCTGTCTCATCTTTAACATCTCTGGCTGCTCCTACATGCCAGCAGGCAGCAAGGGCTGCTGCTTCTTCCCTTCACAATACTTCTGCATTGCTCTTTGCACACTCACCATCTCATTCAGGACCTCTCTGAAATCCTGGATTCTGTGGCAGGATTTCCCATTGACCTTCCTTTCTGCAGTCTCTCCCCAATACAGCCCATAGACTTTTGCTTCCTTAGCTTTCCTGAAACTTAGCTTTCATTGTGCTCCTCTCTGTATGAAAACCTTCAGTGACTCTGCCGTTCATGGGACAAAATCTGATCTCCTGATCTTGGCGTTCAAAGCCTTGCACACTCTGCTTCTTGGCTACTCACTACCTGATAACCCTGTTCTGCTCTCCTAGCTCCTTGCTGATGCTGCTAGAGACTTTCCAGCCTCCACGGCCCCAGGAGTGCCAACCTCTGCCTCCTTGTGTGAACCTTATTCATCCTTCAGAGCTGAACCCCAATGCCACTTACTCTCTGAAACCTTACTTGACCACCACAAGCCACAGTGAGGCTTGTCTCCTTTCAAGCTCTCTTGGAAGTTCCAGGACATGTTTGCTGAACCGGACCTCAGCTCCTAAGAATGCTGTTTACACTAGTCAATTGAGGCTTCAATTCCCTGTCTTGTATGGATAGGGCCTTAAACGTGGTTTGGCCACATATGTCTTGCATAGTAATAGGCCCTTACTATTTATTGAATGAATAAATAAATATGCGAACTACATCAGCTTATCCAAACTGCTGATCTTTGAGGGATTGGGCACTCACTCGTATTTTGCATGTTGGTAGATCCCTGGCACTAAAGCCACACATTTAATACTCAGGTAGGCTTTGGGTCTAAGAAGGAACAGTGATGATGATGATGATGATGATGATGATGATGATGATAAAAACTAAAATGCCTACAACTTGTTGAATATCTATTGTGTGCCAGCACTTCACATACACAGTCTCTTTTTATCTTCATAACCAACTTGTATTGGTATTATTACTATCCGCACTTTACGAATCAGGAAATGGAAGATCCAAGCAACTAAGCAAATTTCCCAAGATAACACATAGAATGGGGTGCAAGGCTGAATTCGAACCTGAGACTTACAATGCTGAAGTCTGCTCTGTCAACCAAACACCAGGCAGCCTTTGGAAGTGTCCTGCAGGTGCCCACAGGAGTGCAATGTAGCATGTAAATGCATGTGCGACACCGTGTCTTCCTTATCTTCCTCTACTGAGGGCCGGGCTCCAATCCTGCAGCTCTCTGTACTCTCACACTAGGACATGCCTAGGACATGGCCTTGAACATAACCGACACTCACTGATAGTGTATTAATTGATTCTCAGCTCTAACCCACTTCATGCCCAAATTCCAAGTGTGTTTTGTAGGAGGGCTTGGCTAGGTTTCACTACAGGTGTAACTAGGGATTCTCTTTCCACTCCACCAATATCATAAAACCTTTAGCTTACGTATTTACTTGTCTCTACAGCTCTCCCCTTGAAGGGACTTTGTGCTGTGTCACCTTAGCTAAGCTGGAAATATTTCCCAGAACACGCTTCCCTGTATGGTTCCAGAGTAGGACTGGCCACAGGAGACATTTACACGAGACTGGGAAGCAGTAGCAGCTCTTTGCAGAGTGGTGCAGGCGCCAGGTGGGCCCCTGAGATCATGCTGCGCTGATGGCTCATCTCACTGGTGTGGGGCAGTCCCTGGGCCTGTGGTTCCTCCAGCTCCCGCCCAATCTCCTGCAGAGTCTCTGAGTCGCAAGCTTGCTGTGTGAGCAGATTCATGGAGCTGGTGCCAGTTTCTGCAGATCCACACGTTGTCAAAATTGGAGGTGATGAGAGACATACACGGGTTCCACTCTGTCCTCATCAGCGCCAGTTTTTCTCATGCTTCCCATTTGTGCTGCTCTCCCCCCTGCGGATGCAGCGCGCCTTCCAGACCATCAGAGCTGCTGACCTCCAGCGTCTGCAGGCCCCACCAGGCACAGGGGCAACTACCTGCCATCGGCTCCTCCACCAGCTCTCACAATCATGCTAATTTTTATACCAAATATCTTGTTCCACATCACCCAGAGTGGCTCTGCCTCACTGATTAACCCTGGATGATACATCCCTCTTCCCTGGGTCCCCAGGATATGACAATTGGGCAAAGTCACTGTCAAAGCAAGAAGAAAACCTAGGGTGGGTGAGCCTCCTACCCCTTCCTTTTCCCTCCCCACGGACTGTGCTGTTTTCAGAGGCAGGAGCTAGATCCATCTGACCCATAGTGGGACCCAACTTAAGACACCCCAGAGTTATTCAGGACTCTGCTTGCCCAGACAAACCCAAGCTGAACTCAGTCTGATGTCACTGCTTTTAGAGGCTGTGTGGTCACCCCCAGCCCTTTGTGGTTTCTCTCAGAAGTCACTGGCACCTGTGCATGGAGCTGGGCCTGTAGTTAATCACTGGTGGCCTAGAGTACAGGGTCACTTCAGTGCGATGATCCCAGGGGCTCTGAAGACTGATGTTCAAAGCTGTCTGCCTTTGACAAGGTGTTTGAAAGTCCGAAATGTTACCAATAGGGAGTCTTTTCTTTGGCTCACACTTCTTGATACTTATTATTTAAAAGACATGCACCTTTGATGAAAGAATCATTTGCAGAGTGTAGTGGAAAGAATGTGGCTTCTGGAATCAGATAGCTCTGAACTCAATCCTATTTCTGCCATTTAAAATAGCTGCGAGACTGCAATAAAATAATTATTTAACCTCTTCAATCTGCGGTTTCCTCACCTATCAAAATGAGGGTAACAATATCCAATCTGGTATCCAAGGCAACAGTGTGACAGTACCTAGCCCAATGCCTGGCACCTGGTGATCCCAAGTAGATGTTAGCGTTACTCTGATTTCCTTCTCTTGAACTGAGTCATGCACTGAAGTCCCAGGAAGGCCCTGGGTGTACGTTATTGTCACTGCATCCTCATCACGGTTGGCATCTGGTGGGGGAGTGGGTGAGGGTCTGCTGTGGATGCGAATGTGTGCTTTGGTAGGGTGGACAGAGAAAGAGAGAGAGTTAACAGCTAGTTTCAGAAGCGAGGAGAGGTCAGCAGAGGAGGAGATAAGTAAGATGGAAAACCGGCTCAATTCCATCTCCCTTTCTCCACATCCACTGCCACCATCCTAATTCGAGTTGTCTTCTCCTTCCTGGGTCACTTCCATAGTCTCGTCTGGTTCTTTTGACTCTATTTTTATCTCTTTCTTCATTTGTTTTCTCCTGGGAAGCCAACGATCTTTTTAAAACGTAAATCTGATTTTCCTTAACCCTTTGACCCTTTCTGTGATAACTTGGTGTTTGATCTAAACCCTCCTTGTGGCCTGGAAAGTGCTCCATGCCCCGACCCCTGGCTACCCTCCTCCCTCCACTGCATTTCTCTCTTCTCCCCTCCCGCTCACCACCTTTTAGTCCCTCTAGAATCGCCCCAGCCCCTCAGACCGGTGAGCTCCAGGCCTTGCCTGTCTCTCTTTCTGGCTCCCTCCTTCCCCTCTCCTCTCTCTGTCTCTCTCCCTCTCTCCCCCACCCCCCAAACACACACTTTTTCACTTCATTCTTCTGGCTGACTGCTACCCAACCTTCACATCTTTGTTCAAAAATGTGATTTCTTCAGAGAGTCTCCTGATTTCCCAAACAAAACCAGGCTTCTCTCTAATTTTTTCTCATAGAAGATCTCTTGTGCATGTTTTTTCTTATAGCCTGTGTCACACTTCAAAAGTATAGAATGACATGTGTAGCTTCTCTCTCAGTGCTGTCTCCTCACCTAGAGTGACTCCCCCACTGTCTGGGGGATCCTGTGGTATTGCCACCAGCCGGTCCCCTGCTGCACGCATTGTGTCAGTAGTGCTGGTCGATGATGACGAATGAGGACAGTGTAACCCAGGGGCAGGTCTCCTGGAGGCATTCACACTTTCTCTCCTCACAGAGGAGCCACAATTCTTGAGTGTGTGTCATACGAAATCCACCCAGAAAACACAGACCCTGTTTACCTCTATACTTAATTTGTTGTTTCCTACTTTTTCTTTCTTAAATGAGGTATAACTTACACAGAGTATATGGCACAAATATTAAGTGTTCAGGTGGTGAAGTTTTCATATGTTCACACCCATGGAATCATTACCCCCATCAAGATCTAGAACAGTCCAGCATCTGACAGCCTCTTCCAATTCCATAACCCTCGAGCCGACTCCAGACAAGGTAACCACTATTCTGAGCTCCTTCTGCACAGATGAGTTTTGTCTGCTTCTTACATAAATGGAATCATGCAATGCACATGTTTTCGTGTCTGGCTTCTTTTGCTCAACATGTTTTCAGAGTCATTCAAATAGCTGTGTGTAGCAATAGTTTCTTTTTTTCAATTTGTTTAATTGCTGAGTGGTATTTCATGGAATGTATACTTTACTCATTCTACTGTTGTTAGATATTCAGTTGTTTTCAAGGTCAGGTATTATGCAGATTCTCTTAGATATATTTTGGTGCACACATCTTTGGGTATAGAGTAGGAGTGGAGTTAGTGGATCTATATATCTTTAAGCCAGTCTTTTTTGTCTTATGGTACATCCTCAGAAAAATTTCTGGCCCGTCTTAACCTTAATTTACAAATGAGATAAGTCAGAGGTGGTTATCCATGTGTAAAAGGCTATTTCCTGGCCAGAGTCCTTCATATGGCTTGTCTTTAAAGTCCATGTCATGTGTTGGTGTCAAGGTCACTTAACTATTTGACAATGAGCCTATGGCAATGACAGGCCAGAACAATTTAAAATCATAATCTGAAGGGATTCTGCCATCGAAGCTTAGTCAGGAGCCATGATAAATCATCTCTAAAATGGCAATCTGAGCCAATAAGAAAATATTATTCTCTTTATTTCAATTGCTGAGTTACAGACACAGTTGAAGGGCACATTATTCCAATTACAATGATCCTAAGGCAATTGCTTTGGCCATTCCTATAAAATGCTGTAGCTATTTCTGATGTATCATTTATTCACTGATTTATACTATTGCCAGTAGCAATACTGACTATCTATATATCCCAGTCATGGGAGTCTTTCTTAGACAACTACATAGCAATGTTTTCCCTTCTACAGGAACACATACAGGTAATAAGCTATGACCATTAAACAACATTCGCCAAATTCTGTGTGCCTTTTTCCCAAAAGATAAATTACTCTGAAGGAGGAAAACTATAATCCCTACAGATTCTCTTGCTAAAACATCTCCTTATCTAGAACAGATGCATATTTGCTGTTTTCATGTTCCTTCTAGCCAGAGAATACACAAACATTTCCCTGACTTCCCTATTTGAGACAAGAAAATCAGTTTCTGCCCCAGGGAAGGTAATAAATGCAGTTATGACATCTTTCCAATTAAGGCAATGGGCCAATTCTTCTCTAGACCATGGAGGGCTCTAGACCTCTAGACCTTTCTGTATCTGCGATTAAAAACTCAAGGGGCCTCTCAGCTTGGGAGGCCAAGACCACCCCGTGGTGATGGAGGGAACTTTCAGCACAGAGATGGAAGCACGCTGGAAATATCTGGACTCTGCTTTGAGTGGAAATGTAGAGACAGCCACATCTTTTGGACACCCTCCTCTCAGTGTCCTGAACTCTTGAAACATCCTCCTCGTTGTAATGAAAAGTACCCCAAGAGAGGTAAGGAGCCTCCAGATTTGGCTAATTCTGAAACAGAATTATATGACCTCATTGAATTCTCATGATAAGCTTATCAAGAAGATATTACCATCATCCCCAGTTACAAAATTTGGAAACTGAGCCTCCCAGAGGTTGAGTGTTTTGATTAAGGTCACGCAGCTTCTAAGTGTTAGAATGAGGATTTGAACCCAGGCAGCCCAACTCCGGCCCCGACAGGGTCTGGGATAGAGCATGCCCCAACTCTGGGTGTCATCCTCTCATCTTCTACTCCACTTTTTTACAGCTTCATTTAAAATATCATGCAAGGTTACCTTCACCACACAGAGGAGGTGAAGATACAAATAAATATGGGGGAGGAGGAAATGGAAAATAAAACTCCCACTGGGGTCTGGCTATTAATGTTTCTGCCTGTTCCTACACTGGAATAGGTCTGGTTCTGAGTCTGCTACTGAAAGAAACCAAAAATGACCTTGAATTGAAACTCCTGCATAGGAAGGTACCGTGACGAGCTCAGAGAGATCACAGTGCAACTCTGCAAGGGCTGTCAGCACATCGTCATGGTTGCTTCCAGTTGGCGGGTGGGGAGGAAGCTGAGTAGGTGGTTTCCAGTTCCAATGAACTACCTGACTGCCAACACCAAGCTTGGGTTTTCCTCTCCGAAGGATAGAGTGGCTGGAAGGTGTCTTTCCAAGAGGAAGCTTCTTTCATCAGCAGCTCATGAGGAAGGGTTTTCTTCAGTAAATACAAACATCAGCCAAGCCCTCTGCTCTTTGACCTCATCTCCTATTGTTCTCCTTCTTTTCTCTGCTTCAGCCACACTGGCCTTTTTGTTGTTCCTGGAACATGCCAGACACACTCCTGCCTCAGGGCCTTTGCACATGCTCTTTCCTCTGCCTGGAACTTTCCCCCCCAGATACTCCTACCATGGCTTGCTTCCCCTTCTCTCTCATGCCTTTCCTCAAATGCTGCCTTCCCAGCAAGATGGTCCCTAGTTCCCTGTTGTACAATAATTACATCTTGAACTCCACTCTCTTCAACACTCACGTTCCCTCTCCCTTCCTGTGCTTGGTTTTTTCCTTAGCACATTCCACCTTATAATCTACTACACATTTTACTGAATTATCTTGTTTTTTGACCGTCTTCCTAGCTGAGGGGAAGGACTTTTGTCTGTTTGGTCCCCCTTTGCATTCTGGCATGTAGAATAGTGTGTAGCCAGTGCTCAACAAAAACATGTTGAATGAATAAATGAATGAATGAATGAGTTTTAGCTCTGCCATTTAGTAACCAGGCCAGATTTAGCAAATTAGTTAACTTTTTCTAAGCCTCATTTCTGCATCTGTAAAATTGTTTCCCTCCTGTTGTGAGTTTTCAACAAGACTACAAAAGTACACACCCAGCACAACACTTGCATAGACTCAATAAAGGTTGGTTTAATTATTTACTTTGTGAGTTCAACGAAAAAAATACAAACAATAGTAGCAAACATTTGTTGAGTATTTACTGTGGGCCCAGCACTGTTCTAAGCATTTATGTATCTTAACTCATTTAATCCTTGCAACACCCTGAAATGTATGTACCATTATTATCATCATCGTTGCTTTAAAGATAAAGAAACTGTGAGGGTAACTTTTTTGAGGCCACATGACTAGTAAATCATAGAACCTGGCTTTGAACTCAGGCCCACTGTCTCCAAAGTCCATACCTTAACTACTTCACCATACTGCTTCCTCACAGCAAGAAGACGTAATTCATATAACAGAGGTATAGGAAAATCCATTTAAATAGTGAAGCCTCCTATTTACAAATTTTAGTTTTGACACTTACGTGATGTCTTTGGGGATCAAACATGATGATAATTCAATTTCAAAATCAAAAGGAATATTTAGATAGAGGCCAAATTGTATTTAACTCCAAGCCATGAAATATCTTTGGTCATGAAATGCTACCATTGAGGAGATATTTGGAAACTGTGTTATATTTAGACACATTCTATATGAACATATATAAGATATATTTTAAAATAGAGAGTAGTGTCACTGACTTTCCAGAGTTGAGTGGAAACAAAAAACAGGGCCATGAAGACACACCCTAAACCCGGCACCTGCTTTTGAGGCTGCTTCAAATATTATTGTCCTGTTTTTCTTGTGAATTGGCTTCAATCACTTGTGATTCCTGTGCATCTAGCATATCTCATAACCAGCAGTCATTCATGGTCTATTTTGAGTTTGGGCGTTAAAATACTAGGTTTCGTTCATGAGCAAAGCTCAGTGAGGCCAAGTCTTCTCCGTTCGAGGTGCCGGCTCCACAAGTCACTGCACACCCAGCAGGGAGGCGCACACACAAACTTTCCAAATCGTCTTCAAAGGTTTTCGGTTCCTTTTTTTCTTTTTTTGGTGTCTATTGCCTTCCCAGTAATGGCTAAGATGTTGCCGGTTTGTCTCGCTTCTTGAGATTTCTCCGGAAGGCCTTATTGACCAGGAGTTCAGTTGGGACTAGGTGTTAATTTCCCATTCGTTTTAATCTGGCTCTTTTTCTTGCAGGAAGCAGTAAGCTATTCAAGCCAACTCAAGACAATGGGGTTTACCTTATTGTATTAGGTCATATTATTTTTAAGTGATAAATCCAGGAGCAGGAACCATATAAAATCCTGGCCTCGAGGGGCCCAGAACTCAACGGTGATTCTAGATTCAAGGAGGCTCCTAGGCCTTCAGTGGCAGGAGCTCATGGATCTTTGCTTGCTATGGTTAAGCAACATACTACATGTCTTGTTTTTCTGGTCCTAGCACTAACTGATGGCTATTTATTTGCTTCAAGTTCAGGGCCCTAACAGAGAATCTGATTGGTCCAGTCCATTTTTTGGGGTAGACTGTAACTTCCTGACCTGTCTATGGATTGTCTGCCACTGGCTCAAGTGCCTGGGCCGGGGCCAATCACCTGGGGACAGAGGGGGTAGGGTGCTGGCTATTAAATGTGGTTTCCTGGGCCTGTCCCTTCAGCAGAAGTGTGGGCATGGCGGGTCCCCTCAGGACAGACTGTAGGTGGGTTGGCACAGTGCTGACCTTTCCACAACACCAGCGTCTGAGACACTGATGTCATATAGCCAAGTCGTACAGTGGTAGATCAAGGTAAGATGTTGTATTGACAAAGATACAGATACAACTCAGAAAGATACCCACAAAGCCACATGCATGCATCTTTGCGATCTGCATGCTTAAAACTTGAAATAACTTTCATTATGTCTTTGTGATGTTTTATCTACAATAATTTATTCTTTTGCCTAAGTTTAGCTCTCAAAGTCCCGTAGCTTTCTCAGTCAGGGCCTCCCAGTTTTGGTGAGCAGATTGTACTCAGCACAGTTCCAGGCAATGCCATTCATAGAGATTTCAACATAATGACTAAACTGAAATGCATTAACCTTTGCAGTTGTCAGCCAGATATTGAGGTTCTGTTGTGACTGAGCTGGTCAGAACCTACTGATTTCTTATGACTATTGACTAAATGTCTGCAACACTGTGGACTATGGGTTTAAACACAGGCAGAATGGACATCTACATAACTTCAGAGGTCCCTGTGTCAAATATATGATGTCAGTGGTGCTGATGATCTCTCCTCTGAGGACTGGCCTGCTTTCACCCAAGCACATATGATGGGGACATTTGATAGGGCGGGCATGTTAAGGAGTGTGGGTCGAGATCCAGGACTGGATGCCGTGCTGCAGTGAGTGGGGAGGCTGTGGTGTTGCTGGAGTAGGCTGGCCAACATAAAAGCAGAAAGCATGACAAACTTAACTTGGTTTGCATTACAGTTCTGGGGAATAAATTCTCCTAGACAAAAATCAGATCCTTGGGTTCAAGGTAATTGTCTTAAGACAAAAAAAAAAAAAAGTATACACTGTACCTCTTTTTTTGAGTTCTGAGTAGAAACCAGTCTCTCCTGTCACCTGAGGTCCCCAGCACTCTAGCTGCATTTCCCTTGTGCCCTGTATCACTTTCCGTCTGTATTTAAAAAATCTCTGCCCGATTTTTCCCCATCTTTGAATGGAAATTTCTTTTAAGACAAGATCAATGTCTGACTCATCCTGGTGTTTCTGCGATGGCTTGGAACATGCCAGGCATTTAATAAATATCTGTTGGGCAAATGAGAGTAAGGACCTAAGTTGCCTTTTCAGCAGCCAAATTGACCATGATCCATGCTGTTCTGTCTGCACAGTGACAGTATTTGGCACAGAAATGTCTGAGATGGCATCATTGCCAAATTTATTCTAAATTTTCAAATGTCTCTAACTTAGGTGCTGTGGAAACACCATTAATATATCTTGTAATTATAAAGTGGATATGGGCTCTGTTGATTACCAGAACAAAGATGGAATTCAGAGGGGCAGATCTGGAATGTTCTTTGAGTACAGAGAAGGAGGAGGAGGAAGAGGAGGATGAGGGGAGGATAATAGCATTTATTGACGGTGCACTATGTGCCAGGCCCCGTCATAAGCATTACACATTTATTAATGCATTTGATGGTCACCACAGCCCTATGAGGAAGGCAGTATTAGCCCACTTTACAGATGAGCCTGGTGTAAGACAGCAGGTTGCCTTTCAGTCCATACAGTCTGTGTCGCTGGACTCCCGGGACTCACTTCTCCTTGGGTCTTCCTTTCTCCCTCCCTTTCTGTTCCTTGGCCTTCTCGGGAAGCCTCGTGTGGTCAAAGGCAAAGTGATATTAATAACTGTTCGTGATTTCATCCTAGGGGGGCCACATGCTGGCTCTTCACTGGCCCCTTTAGGGAAAGCCTAGGTCTTTAATATTTTTCAAAATAGAGTCAGTAAGATGCACAAACCCATTTCTTGCCATATTTAGTGCTCTGAGAGAACATTGGTGCAGTATTTTTCAAAACAAAACCAAACCCTCCTTCACAGGTATGAGAATGAAGAGCAACGAAGGGCGAGGAGGAGTCAGACAGCCCTGTCCTGCCACAGTCATCTGAGAGACCACTCCGACCATCACTGTCTGCTTAGGCAGATCTACTTTTCGGTCATGCCGGCCGGAGGAGCTCACTGCCTTGAATCTCCTCTGACTTGCAAAGATACCGCTCTAGAACCATCAACATCATTTGGCTAAACAATTCCCACTTCCCAGCGGGGTCCCTTCATTCCTTATCTGTTTCGATGGTTGGCATTTTGGGTTGGCAGTAGAGGTTGCCTTCTCACTTGCCACTGGAGCTGTGTCTAAGAAAGAGAAGCTAAGTCAATGGCAAAAAGTTCGATTTGTTCCAAACAGACTGAAAAACGTTACCCTTCCAGGAACTTAGGTATCCTGTGTCCAAACTGCCCACAGAGGAGCAGAGATCACATAATTTTTCAGGTTTTTTTAAATATAGTTAGCTAAAGTGGAGAATTGGGGTGGTATCCAGAGTTCTGGTTTACAACATAAAATACTTCACGATAATGCAACTTTATTCCTATATCCACATGCCTAGGAAAGCTTGGCATATGGTGGCACTCAATATGTGTGGAGTGAACGAATGAATGGAGAAAAAGTCTAGAAAGGTATCAAACATAAATGTTGAAAGTGATTATCATCTCTTTAAATAGCTGCATATTCTGGCTTTTCTGTTATAAATATGTATTAGTTTTGTAATAGTTTTAAAAATATAACTTCAATTTTCCCAGAAATTACTGATTTGAAGCTGAAGTGAGGGTAAAGTTCAAAAT